CCTCAATCAGAAGATTTCTGAGATTAATAAAAATAATTGGTGCATACCTTTTATCCTGGCAGCTCAGACAGTAAAGAACCTGCCTGCAATGCAGGTGACCTGAGTTCGATCCCTGGGTCGGAAAGGTCACCTGGAGAAGGAATGGCAACCCACTCAAGTATTCTTGCCTGGAGAATTCCATGAACAGAGGAGCATGGCGGGCTACAGACCTTGGGGTCACAAAGAGTCAGACAGGACTGCCAGACTAACACTTTTCACCTATTACCCAGATTCACAAATTTTAAACATTTTGCAACATGCTTTAACATTCTCTCTGTGTGGAGATTGACATTACTGTTTTTCTGAACCATTTGAGACTAGGTTGTATACATTATGCCTTAACAATTCAGTATTTTTCCTAAGAACAAGAATATATTAAAAAGTTCATTTGGGTTTTTCTTTAACATCTAACATTATGAACTTTTTGGCCAACCCAATATTCTCGCAAAGCCACTGCACAGTTATCAAATTCATTAAAGTTAACATTGATGTAAGTATTTTTACCCAATCTTAGGCTGTGTATCTAGTTTTTTTAGTTATTCCAATAATGTCCTTTATAGCACTTCTTTTTTCAGTATATGATCCAGTCCACACATTGCATTTAGATGTCATGTTTTTCAGTCTCCTTTAATCTGAAATGATTCCTTTCTTTAGCTTCATGGCATTGGCAATTTTGAAGGAAAAAAAAGATTGTAGACTCAGGTTTCTCTGATATTCCTCATGATTAGATAAAGGTTATACATTTTGGCCAAAATACTGTCTAACTGTTATGTCCTTCTCAGGGTCCAGAGGCACATATGTTCAGAGGCACATATGTCCATTTGTCTCTTATTGATAAAAGTTAAGTTTGAACACTTGGTTAAATACTATCTGATTTCTTAATTTCTTTTTGTAATTAATGAGTAATGTATAGGGGGAATTACTTTGAGACTCTGTAAACTTTCCATTCTTTATCAAACTCCAGACTCAGCACTCATTGATAATACTTACCTGAATTATTTTTTCTGTGATGATTGTAAAATGATAATTTTTCTAACACCTTATTATTCAGAATTTTACTATAAGGAATAGCTTTCCTTTCTTCTTTATGTGTTTATTAATCATCAGTGCGGACTCACTCATGGATTCTTCCTTATGTGATAATTGGAGTATCATTCTATAAGTTTTATTACTAAAATGAAAGTCGTTCAGTAGTATCCGACTCTGCGATCCCATGGACTATGCAGTCCATGGAATTCTCCAGGCCAAAATACGGGAGTGGGTAACCACTTCTCCAGGGGATCTTCCCAACCCAGGGATCGAACCCAAGTCTCAGGTCTCCCACATTGTAGGCGGGTTCTTTACCAGCTGAGCCACAAGGAAGTCCAAGAATACTGGAGTGGGTAGCCTGTCCCTTCTCCAGCAGATCTTACTGACCCAGGAATTGAACCAGGGTCTCCTGCATTGCAGGCAGATTCTTTACCAAATGAGCTATCAGGGAGCTATTTACTTTTGTTTATTATATAGAGAGCTACTTATTACAAAAGGGCTCATCATTTTTGCTCTGTAAAAATATGGTTTTGTCAAAACAAATGAGCTAATATTTTATTATTATCTGTGAAGTGAACTCTATATGTAATATTTAATACTCAAGCCCTTTGAACTGTGTGTATTACTATTATATTATATGCAAATTATCACCTTAAATATGACAAAACCAGAGCTTAGACTATGTGTTTGTTAGTCGCTCAGTCATGTCCGACTCTTTACGACCCCATGGGATTTCCTTCTGGAGTGGGTTGGAGTGGAGTGGGTTGCCATTTCCTTCTCCAGGGGATCTTCCCAACCCAGGGATCAAACCCAAGTCTCCTGCATTGTGGGCAGGCTCTTTACCATCTGAGCCACAGGGGAAGTAAATTCCCCAGAGTCCTGTAAGTGCTGACCAGTGGAGTCAGGACTTGAACTCAAATGTCTGCTCAGCGTCAGAGTCCTCAACACCATGCTCCCTCTGTGATTTGCTTCACAACTTCTGCAATGGATCTCATGTCTTTTTGAGTTTAATCACTTTTCTGACAGTTCCATCCACATGCCACACACCTGTTACCCTAAGGAAGACTGGGAGTAGGATGGAACAACTGTGGACACCCTTGCCTTTCTTCAAAGGAGAAATTTATGGTATTGATCCTTCTGAAGTGATTTATCATGCTGCGTTCTTCGCCCGAATCCAAAACTGCTTTAAAGGGAAAAAGACATCCCACAAGGGTAATTTGTAATATTTTAGCTGTAGAAGGATAGAAAATGCATGTGTATATGTGCCTCAAACCTCCACCCTCCCCATTAACTTTTTTTTTTTTTAATACTAAGAACCATCTGCTGGCTTTACCTCTTTTCTACCTGCTAGATGCTTTCTGAGTCCCTTTATCCAGTGCTCTATTTAAATGATCCCATTTAAGTCTGGAGCCTAGGGAAATCACCCTGATTCTGCGTTCCCTAGCAACATCCCTGAGAAGAATAACAGCTGCCTAACCATATGCCACCATAAAGAGGTAGGGAAGTACATACAAATTGACATTAGGTGCCTTAAATCTCGAGACTTCAGACATCATAGTCATCATATTTGATTATTTACCTTTGGTGGTGAAAGTGCAAAAGAGAAGAATAGATATAATTATCTAAAATGACAACAGATATACTGTGGATGAGCTTAGAAATCAATTCAATTTCTAGATATGTTCTTGCTAAGATCAGCAGAGAAATGGCTATGATAAAATTTTTTAAATGTTTATGAGTCTTGTGTCAAAATTAAGCTGTACTTATGTTGTAGTATGACAGCATATTTAAACCTTTAGGAAACTTAAAGTTCTTTCCAAATTTTTTGTTGATATTCTATACTTTTTTCATTGTTGATTTATTGTCCATGGTTTTGCTTTTCCCAGAATGTCTTATAATTGAAATCACACACATGATGTAGCCTTTTCAGATCAGCTGCTCTTACTTAGTAATATATATTTAAGTTTCTTCCGTGTCTTTTCATACCTCATTTCTTTCTAGCACTAAATAGTCTTTTGTCTGGATATATCACAGTAAATTTATCCATTCACCTACTCAAGGACAATTTGTTTGCTTACAAGTTTTGGTAATCATGACTAAAGCTTCAGGTCCACTTGCAGGTTTTTGTATGGACATGAGTTCTCCACTTATTTGGGTAGATACCAAGGAGCATGAATGCTGAAGCATATGGTAAAAGCATGTTTATTTTTGTAAGAAACTGTCAAACTGTCTTCCAAAGTGACTGTATTGTTTTAAATTTCCACATCTTTCCAATATTTGGTGTTGTCAGTTTGGGATCTCAATCATTCTAATAGAAAATAAGAATCTAATTATTATAGCTTAAGTACTACTTTAGGAACTGCTACCATATTGGTAATATGTGTTATAAGGAGGAAAAGTTACTACCTTTTGTGGTTTCTTTGCAAAAACAAATTTTCCTACATTTAAAAATTATTAATATGTTCCTTCTCTCTATACCTACCCCTTCCCCCAACCCCCACCCGATCTCTTTGTAGCTTAAGCTTTTGGATTTCCAAGGACGAAGAGTGAAAAATTATCCTGGACTGTTTTTCCTGTTTTAATCAACAAGTAGTCATTATCCAAATAATAACCAACAATTCAGTAAATATACATGCTTTTTTTAAATATTGAAAAAATAGCCTTTGGTATTCTTTCAAATTCCACTCAGTTTTCAAATTTATTTGAAATATTTCAATTTTCAAAAATTATTCCTGATAATTTTCAGAATTTCTGGTCACCAATAGTCTAGGGGAGGGGTTGCTTTTTTATATTTTGATTACTACTCTTTATTGTAAACAGCCAATTAAAACAAAACCATATTTTAAGGTTAGGTCATGCAATGAAATTTAATGATTTTGAACAAAAACCGGTTTCTTCCTCCAAATTTTTAAAACTCATACATATTAGTAGAAAAATTGGGTTTTTAAAACAGGAATATTTTATTTGTAAAAGATCTTGGAAAACTTTTTTTATGTTAATTAAAAGCACTTCCTGGTTTCATTTTTCTCAATGAATTTATTTGCCCAGGAAAAGTTACTTATTTGCAAAACCAAATGAAATGGAAAGGCTAGACCAGTAGCCTTCTAAATATTTGCATATGAGGAAGTCTGGTATTTGTAACAGATAAATGTAGAGCTGCTCTGGTGGGAGGTGGAATGGAGGCAAGAGAGACTGGAGCACCTCCTCCCCTTCTGCCTTTTCCCAGCGACCTCTGAGGAGTCCATAGGACTATGTGGAGAAGAACTGGAAAATTGATTTCAAGATTTGTATTTAAAGCAGCAACAGAACCAAATAGTCATCACTGAGCTCTTTATCATGGAGTTCTAGGTGTCTAATTTATAAGGTTTCTGAATTAGACTTCAGGGCCTATGTTACATTTTATTACAGCCTACAACTTAAGAGCAGACTGGCAAGAATTAAATGAAAAGCCTGTTTCACAGCTGTTATGCATCTGGGAATTTGGTTAAAAGGGGCTAGCTTAGCTTAGCCTGGGTTGTGATAAAAAGCAGTGTGTGGGGACCTTTTAAATGAAGTCCTGTGCTCTGATCAGAGTTGTATTTAATACTGGCCCATAAGTCCACATAATTATAATTTTGTAAGAGTCTTTAGAACGTCAGTAACTTTTAAATCTTACCTTGTGAAAAATGATTATGTCACCTGTGGATTTTAAAAGCAGTTAGCAAACCGAGATAAAGGTGATAATCAAACCAAGTAGTTCTCCATATCCAAGTTTCATACTTACAATGTTCCGACTGTTCTTTGTAATTTGCTATTCCATTTAATATGTTTTAATGAGGCATGTTAATTCTGATAAACGAATGCTTCATGTAGACTTGTCGTACCGCAGGGAAAGGTGGATTACTTTCTTAATGGAGCCTTACTCCATTCTGGCATTTCTCCCAGGCTTGCAGATGGGTCAGGGGCTGTGGAGAGTGGCCAGAAACCAGCAGCTACAGCAGGAAGGCTACGGTGAGCAAGGCTACCTCAGCAGAGAGCAGAGCAGGAGGGTGGCTGCCAGCAACATGTCTCACACCAGTCATCGCAAACACGTCCAGGGGGGCATTGACATATATCATCTTCTGAAGACAAGAAAGTCTAAAGAACAGGAAGGATTCATTAATTTGGAAATGCTGCCTCCTGAACTAAGCTTTACCATCTTGTCCTACCTGAATGCAACCGACCTCTGCTTAGCTTCCTGCGTTTGGCAGGACCTGGCCAATGATGAACTTCTCTGGCAAGGGTAAGTTGAACTCACCATATCTGACCCAGATATCTCTAAGTATAACCTTGCCTAAATGCTTTTTTTTTTTTTTTTGAAGGGTGGAGTGCTACTTTTTTCCTTTTTAATATTCCCATCAAACTTAATTTATGGTCCTATATTTGAACTTTGTTAAAAAAGTTTATTTCTATGCTTATCAGAACTCAGTCAGAATATAGTTTTCATTTGGGATTTTAATCTGGATCGTTCATTTCTAAGAGAAATGCTTCCTTTATGCCTATATCTCTGACTCTTAGATTTTTTTTTCTTTGATAAATTAAAGGCTGGCTTAGTTTTTGTTTTTTAATTTAGGGGAGGGTCTGTTGTTTTACATAGCTTAGTAATAAAAGTCAAAAGCTATGGGACTAGACTAAAAAGGCTGCTAAAATATTGATAATTTTCTAAACAAGTTACCAAACTCCCTGTTACAGAATCATCTCGTTTGGCTGGGGGAAAAAAAATGCAATGATATAAATTAACTATGAAGAAGATATTCCCATGTAAAAGTGAATATTCTACCCACTTTCCTCAGAAATTTTGATGTTACAGGCTGAGACAGTAACTTTCTTGTTTTCCTGTAAGCTCTCTCTCTCTCTCTCTCTCTCTGTGTGTGTGTGTGTGTGTGTGTGTGTGTGTGTAGAAGAGAGAGAAAAGAAGGAAATTTGGAAGTTTGAGTCAAAAATCAATAATGAGCATCAGAAAGTGAAACTATGGTATCCATCCAGAATTTCTAGGAATTGTAACAAGATGAAAGGTTAGCTTTCAAATAACCAGTAGCTAATGCCCCTAAACAAAATGTCCTAAACAAAATGGGAAACAAGTGTCCCAATGTGTATTAATAGAAACTGTGTTTTGATGTATTTTAAGTATTACAGATTTTGTAAAAAGTCATGTAATTTAGCTCTGATAGTAAGAACCAGTGTTTTAAAGCAATATCCTAACATATACTAATCTTAATGTTGCAACTTTTCATTTAAGTATTAAAGTTACAGCATTACAGTTTCTCCCTCTGCCCAGCAGTTCCCCCATCCCCCACTCGACTATATTTCACAATGGAGCACATAGTTGTTTAATTCTGTTTAGACTCTTGGTTAGGACTGCAAGCTCAAGAGTAAGTTCCTTCGATTCAGATCCTGCCTCTACACAAATTAGCTGTGTGACCATGGGCATCTTTTTTATGGTGTCTGTGTTTCTTTATCTGTAGTGCCAAATCATAGGATGGTTGTAAAGATTAAGCAAATTAATACTATTAAAATGCTTTAAATAGTGCCTGGCATCTGTTAAGCACTTGGTAAATGTTAGCTGTTATCATTGTCATTATTTATGTTTAACTTCAGTGGGACTCGAATATTACTAATCTTTGTAATTCACATTTATTAAGTGTTGTCAGAATTACTAAATTGAAGGCGTTTGTCTGTTTTACTCTAGTAAATAAATAAAACAAGCATAAAATTAAGCAATTTATACTTCAGAGCTGTAAAATCCAATTTTATATCACTTCATATCACTATTTTATCGTGTATATATGTCTTTAACTTAGAAGATTCAATCTGGTCATGTTTTCTCATCTGATTTTTATCATACTTACAGGCTGTGTAAATCCACTTGGGGTCACTGTTCCATTTACAACAAGAACCCACCTCTAGGATTTTCTTTCAGAAAGTTGTACATGCAGCTGGATGAAGGCAGTCTCACCTTTAATGCCAACCCAGATGAGGTAAGTGAAGAATTTGAACATTTGTAACTGTTGAACTTAATTGTTCCAACATAATAAATTTGTAAGTAAAGTTATAAGTCCCTGAACATGACTTTTGAATCACTGTGAAGTCTAGTATTTGGAGTTATTGCTGTATGACTTAGTCATTTCTTTCTTCCTTACTATGTCAAATACTAATCTTGCTATCTGCTCACTTTGTATGGCAGCTTCCATGACGCACATGCAGCCATTGCCTGCATTTGGTTGAGATACCACTACATTATTAGTTGAGAGCACAAAATATATTCATCAGACTTTATCTGCAGCATTTTCTTCATTTCCTCATTTCCACTTAGTTATGATTATCAGAGGATACAAAGGATATTTTTCTAGTTCGTGACCTATCAAAATGTCTTTAAATAATGCCTTTAAAAATCTTAAGCCCATGATAACATAGAAACAACTTATAGATTGTTATAAAATTGCATTATTTTGCATTAATTATCTGATTCTTTTTTTTTTTAAGATAATAAGCCAACATAAATAAAGAAGAGGGAGAGTGGGAGAATCAAAAAGAACTGCTTGAAATGAATTACTTATTTAATCCTTTCTTAACATATGAGTGATCAAAATGTGAAGACAGTTCTGTCACTGGCTCCCATTCTCCCCAATTCTTATTTCAATATATTCTGGAAAGGTTCAGATTTTTAGAAATGTTTCTTATTCTTATAAATCTAATAGAAATTATGTAACACTCAGAACTACAACTTTTGGGTGGACCATTTAAGTCTTAGCCCCACAAATACAGCAAAGTATATATGTTTATAAAGCAAATATGTTATAAAGAACAGATATGTTATATTTGTTCTCTTCTTTCACCACTTTTATTTTCAATGAATAGAAGACATACTTTTAATGAAAGTAGAGTGATTTATAAGAAGTTAAAGTTCAAAGTATACATTTAAAAGCAGTATAATATTGATGTTACCAGTTTAAACAGGTCATATGACTAGTGTTACCATAAGAAATATTTTGCATTAGTGTCTTGAGTTAATTGAATGATGATTACTACAAAATTGAGGCAGAGGGGTGTGGTGTTTTACTCTAGATATGTGGGAATCAGGAAAGGCAGCTATTACAGGCCTGTCTTATTAGGACTAATTTATCAAGTCATACTGGTTCCAGTCATGGATTATGCCAATGTTGAGCAAAACTGTCATTCCCAATTCATATCAGTTGCAAATATTACATTCTAAGGAAAGTGTAACTTGGTAAGTACTAAGTTGTAGCTTTTTGAAGTCAGAAAAGTTGGATGTAACTGCTCATATTGATTATGGTAAGTAGTCATTCCTTGCTAAAAGAGTACCATTTTTAAAATAAATTATAAAGCATCTTTTTATGCAAAAATGAAACTACAGATAGGCCCTTATATACTAGAATATTATATTAGTTTTAAATATCTAAATTGGAGAAGTTAGATGTCAAAATATGTTTCCATCTTTGCAGCTACATATATCAGACTAGAGTTCTTTTGTACCTCCTCTAGAGTGTTTGGAGGGGGGGCAGAGAAAAGAGGTAAGATTAAAATCCTCTTTAACTGACAATAAACTATAAAAGTCAAATGTTTGCTTAAAGAGGGGATTCAAGTTACTAATTAAAAATAAGATTTTTAGATCTTCAGATTTTTACTTATCCATCCTACCTCCCATTGTTATTGAGAGTTGGCTGTATTTTCTTTCTTTTACACCCTGGCCTGATTCAAAGATACCCTGGAGCATTCCAGAAGTATTGAATTCACTGTTCTGAAAGGGGCACATACTGTTGTCAGGCAGCATGGAACTAAACCATTCAAAGTGACTTTCGGTTCCAGAATTCTGCTTCTATGCTTTTATTTAACGTCACCCAGGCTCTCAGCAAGCAGCTGTTGCCTAATAACAAAATAGAATTCTCTCTTTACCAGAGTACCCTTAGGATATAAGTAGGCATGGAAGGGCATTGAAGTACACTTGTAGGTGCAGGGAAATGAGGAGAAGTATTTTAATTAATATTCCACACTTGCTTTCATTGACTGATAAACAATCAATGTCAGTTTGGTTGCTTAACCAACCAAAATATAATCAAAAGATCATCCTAGTAGATGTTTTTATACAGAACTCACCTATATGAGTCATATTTCAGCCAGGTCTTAGAATGACTCTTGCCATGATTTTTTAGTTCTAGCAATCAGAAAGTACCTGTGGAGGTTGATTATTTTTCCCCCTCACTGGAGCACTGTCATCAGATGTGTTATTTGGGTTTATTTAAGGCTGAGAAGTAAATTAATTACGTTTGATGTTATGTTTAAATGTAAGCGGTGTTTTTTAAGTACCTGAGATAAGATGTATATAACTGTTCAGTATTGTAATAAATCTACTTTTCCATAATTTCTAGTTCTGTACCTAACATTATGATAGCAAGCATCATTAAAATATTATAAAAATAAGAATACTTACAGCCACAGGGAGCAAGATTCTCCAAAGGACATCGTTCATGTCACGGATATGGGTAACCAAACTCCACAGCAGCTGCTGGCAGTGGCTCATGGGGTGGGGGAGGACTTCTGCACAGTTTGTGGTACGATTGTCTAGCACGCTGCTGTTACATGCATGACGTTGTGATCTCAGCTGTATGTGAAGTCTTGATCTTGTGCATGAGCTTGTGTACCTTGTGGCAGGTGACCACATTCTAGTAAAGGAATGTGCTAGAAATCATCTGTTTACATTAGGCCATATTTCCCCTGCATGTACAAGTTACGTGTGTGATTTTATTCCCCAGCATTATTATAATAAAGTAATTTTACTTATCAACCAGTAACTTACTCCATTGAGTAATAAATGTTTTCTTGACATAGTTATTTGTAAATTTAGAGGCTGAAATTGGTAGTGAACATAGTTTATATTATAGGCTTATTTTTGTTTCTATATATGCTTATAAATTTTTAAAATAATATCCTCATTAAAGTGAAATCGCTCAGTCGTGTTCGACTCTTTGCGACCTCATGGACTGTAGCCCACCAGGCTTCTCTGTCCATGGAATTTTCCAGGCAAGAGTACTGGAGTGGATTGCCATTTCCTTCTCCAGGGGATCTTCCTGACCCAGGGATCAAACCCGGGTCTCCCGCACTGCAGGCAGACGCTTTACCATCAGGGAAGCACCAATATCCTCATTGGGGTCAGGTAAAAGAAGTCCTTTTAAACACTATATAAGCACATTTTTCTTGTGTTCATGTAAAAAGAGCCACATGCATACAATTATGTGTATTTTATTAGACAAATCTGGGATAAAATCTATTATGAGAAACATTTTAAATTTTACCTAAGCATATATTTTAGATGGAAATGTGTAAGCAAATTATTTTTAAGGGATCATCTCCTTTTTTTGTTGGACCAGCTAAAATACAAACAGGAAATTTAGAGGAATTCTTCATTATAGAGAAGGATTTGGGTGTTTGTACTCAATTTTTACATTGTCTCATATATAAAACCTTACTTTTTTGTTCCAATATACAGCACCAAAATGTTCATTGCCATGACTTCATACCATAGAAACAATGATGAACAGTAACTTTTTTCCTGGAGGTTGAAACTCTGAAATCATCAGAAAGTACACATTTCCCAAATGTATTCTTTGGACTAATTATTCCACAAAATAATGGACATAGTCAAAGTATTTCCCAAGTCTAATCAATTTGATCATGATAAGTTACAATTAGTTGACTTATTTAAAGAATTTTTCAGAGCCTTTATAATATATTGATGCCCATTGTGAATATCTAAGAGGAAAGTGCTGTAAGTGAGTTTATTTGTCATAGTCTCTTTTTGGCTAGGTGGGGTAGAGGGGTATAAAGTAACATTCTGGGGAACAGATTCTGAGGTATGCTAGGATAGATTATCTGTAGTCTTACTCTGTGTGAATGAGTATGTGTTTCTGAATGAGTTAAATAAACCTGGATTAAATGGTGGAAATACCCTATTATTCACTGACAGCTATATGATGTTTATTTTACCTATAATCTCCTTTCCTGTTTAAAGTCAATGGATCTATAATTCTTTGTTCTCTTTCCTTTGGTCTGATAGTGTTAGTTACAAAAAAAAAACCCCAAAAACAAAAAAAAACCCAACAAATAATAAAACCGAGTTAAGTGTAGACAACCAAGAGCTTTCTTTATTCATGTTCTATATTTTGATTGTAATCAAACATGTTAAGTGTGGAAAATAAGGGTAGGACATCAAACCTGATAGCAATATTGTATTCAAATAACTACCTGTAGACACTGATTAAGTATTTTTGTCAATAACTTGGAACAGATCATTCATCATCATATCCTTGGTGTCTCATTCTCTACACTAACTGTTAAATCTCCTGCAACAGGGGTATTCCCAAGGAAGATTGACAGGCCACAACAGATGCTTTTTAGTTTGGCAAATGTACCACTTTTGGGGGTTTTATCCCAGCTCTGCAAGCCTTAAAGTTTGACTTTATCTTTCTACTGAAATTAGATCAGTCTCTCAGGAGTAAACATAAGCCATATAGTAGAACCTGAGCCAGGTTGACAGTCAGATGGGTGTACTTTAAACAGTGCCTCATAACACAGAGCGAGAATGCCTAAGCTCTTAGCTAATGTCACAAACTAAAATATGTCTAGGAATGATTGTGTCCTCACTCCCCTTCACTGTGCTGCTCCACTCAGTACCACATTTTATGATGTACCTGTAGTACCCACTTTCCCTGTATGGTTCATCTAGGTGTTTTTGACTTGAAAGAACAAAGAACACAATAAAGGTTTAAGCCATTTAAATTTATTTGCTTCAGAAGACACCCAAAATGGGTATCCCAAAGTTGTTTCAGTGATACAGTGGGAGCTCAATGTGTTGACTGGCTACCACTACTCAAGGTATCACATTCTCATATGAAAGTATCCTCAGCACAAAGATCGGCAGCAAACTCCTCAAATTCCTTATGCTGATTAAGGAGAAAAAAAT